TGTGAAGTGCTTTTTCCCCATTCTTCTGTTGGATTGTCTAACTTTTTCTTACTAGTTTGTATACGTTTGTATACACATTCTAGTTATAGGCCCTTTGTCAGTTATACGAAACATGTGGCAAAAATCTTCCAGTGTCTTATCTTTTCACTTTCCTCTGTGTGTGTGTGTGTGTGTGTGTTCTCAGTGGTGTCTGACTCTCTCTGACCCCATGGACTGCGCTTGCCAGGCTCCTCTGTCCGTGGGATTTTGCTGGCAGTAATACTGCAGTGGGTTGCCATTTCCTCCTCTGAGGATTGGAACCGAGCTTCCTGCATCTCCTACATTGACAGGTGGATTCCTTACCACTGCGCCACCTGGGAAGCCCCTTCACTTTCCTAATGGTGTCATTTAATAAACAGAAGTTATTAAATTTAATGTAGTTTAATGTTTCAAACTTTTTCTTTGTGGTTATTGCTCTGTGTTCTGTTTTAGAAATCTTCTACCTATATCACCTTCTAATTGTCTATATCATGAAAACATCATGGAAGTCTTCTGTGTTATCTTCTAATTGTTTTTTCTTTCACATGGAGATCTACAATTCACTGATTCTGTGTGTGTACTGTGAGGTATGAGTCAGGTTTTCTATTCTTTTTCTCTCTTTTTTCCCGTTTGTCCTTCATTCTTTTCTCTTCTTTCCTTTCTCTCTCTCTGCTTTTTCTTCTTTCTCTTTCTTCTGTGTGGCAATTTCTACTCACTCATTTGAGAGTGTTTTTTTCCCCACTATTCTTTAGTTCTGTCTTTGTCACAAGTGAAGTTTGCATAAATGTTTGTTTCCAGACTCTCTAGTGAGTTTCTTTGGTGCATTTGTCTATTGTTATGCTAATGCTAATCCCATTCTTCAAGGGCTTCCCTTGTGGCTCAGGTGATGAAGAATACACCCGCAGTGCCAGAGACCTGGGTCCGATCCCTGGGTTGGGAAGATCCCCTGGAGAAGGGAAAGGTTACCTACTCCAGTATTCTGGCCTGGAGAATTCCATGGACTGTACAGTCCATGCAGTCTCAAAGAGTTGGACACGACTGAGCAACTTTCACTTCACTTCACTTCACTTCATGCTAACGCTGTTAGACCTTAAGAAGTAATGTCTTTATTTCTTTAATTTTTAAGTATGTTATCCTGTTTTTCTTCAAGATTGTCTTGGAAAAGCTCATCAGTTTCTACAGGAAGACTTGTTGGAACTTTGATTTTGATTGCATGAAACTATAGCTCAATTTGAGGAAATGAATTACATATATTTATATAGATATATATAATATAAATATAAAATAATATCTAGTGTTTATATGTAGATATGTATATTTACATATAAGCATGTATAAATATATACAACATATTATACTTATGTATAATATATACATATTATGTAATATAAATATAAATTATATATATATAAAATACAATTTCTTTATGCTTTTACACTTATTTATTTTGTCTAGGCTCCTCTTCCCCTCGTCTTTAATTTTTTACTTCTTCAGACCTGTTTGAAATATTGTCACCTCCTTCTCTAACACTCTTTCTTCTCACTCCTCTTATCTGCCCTGTGTTTATGCAATGGTTTATAGGCGTCCTGAATGGGGCTTGGTACCGGAATCATAACCCTTGCTTCTCTTTAGCTCCAGAGTTGTGACCGTTAGTACTTTCAGAAAAGTGGACAACCAAATAGGGAACTAAGTATAACCTTCATCCAAGGCATTCTGGTGATGAATCACAGTTGAAAACTACTATGGAATTCTTACCTCTGTATCATATTGAAGGCAGTGGGCCTATCAGATGGAGAAGGTGAAATACCTTCATTCTGAGCAGACTGTGCTGAGGTGGGAACTGGCAGCATCAAACCTCCAGAAAGATAGATTTGGAAAGAGAGATATAGGCATCTAAATGTGACTTCTTAGCAGTATTCTCCAAATTTCTTTGACTGCACAATATTATCAATAAAAATATGTGAACATCTTTAACCAATGTTTTGAATATTTATTTATACATTATAAAATGTAATGCAATTTACTTTATAGATTCTACAATATACAAAAATTAAAAATTATAAATAAGCAATATTTCTAAAACAGATTTTTAATTCATTTTGTTTATTAGTGGTATAGAAATCAATAAGTATCGCTATTTTTGAAAAACATGATTTAATACTTAGTGATGTAGTGGTTTGAAGGTCTGGTTTAAGGCAAATTTATTTCAGTATTTGGTTTTTAATGCTGTTATATTTAGAAAAGATACCTTTAAATATTTGAAATTCCAGTTGGAAGCACTGCATTTTCATTGAGCCTGTTAAATCACAGTACTCATTTTTTCATTTCTGCCATGTTGTTCAAAGTCTTTAGCTCACATATTTTGCATAAAATGTTACTTCTCTGATTAATTAGTTCTGGTAAACTCTGGGGAGGGCTTTCACTTTTTTACATTTAAAAGGAAAAATGTCTCTTAAGCTGCTGGTGGGCTTCCGTGGTGGCTCAGCTGGTAAAGATCTGGAGAATCCTCATGGACAGAGGAGCCCATGGGGCTGCCAAGAGTCAGACACGACTGAGTGTCTAAGCACAGCACACAGCACACAACCTGCCGAAACTCTTCATTTGTAAATGTTTTAAACAAAAGTGTTTCTCAATTTTTAAAGTGTAATACTGTGAGCTTCTAGGGTGCTCATAGCACATTTGCATACACATAAAGAAACATTAGAAGGAAATATTTCCGGTAGTTTTTAAAATGTTCTCATCTTAACGTGAGTTTATTTCAAAAAGATAGTTTTTTCATACTCATTAACATGTCACCACCTTACTCTGAAAGGACAGATAAAGAAGTATATATTTTAAAATATTTGCTAATTTGTGTACTACTGACAGCCATCAAAGAAAAGTTTAGCAAGTTGAAACATTTCTTTTTGTAAAACCAAAGTGTATGATGCATCTTTTATGTTTACCAACTTTTTAAAAGGGCTTTGCCATGAAATTTCTTGTGATCAATGTTTAGCTATTTGCAAAGTAGACTAAATATTCTACTACTCAAGGTAATGTAATTGATTGACCTACTTAACTAGCAAACGCAATACCCAAACTGTTTTAAAGAATTCCATGCACCTGTAGCTTGTACAATAAATGACAATATCTGACCAATCGAATAAATTATTGTTTTTCCATGTATAAGATATGTGCAGAGAATGAGTGAAGATAAACTCCCTCTTCTCAGCATTTGTTTTTCTTATAGTGAAACTGTCCTTGTTTTTTTACTTGTCTTCAACACTGGCCTGAACTTCTCAAGGGCAGGAACATTTCAAGCTGAAATCAGCATAATGCCAGGGATATAATCCTACCAGTATACTAGTGAATGCTAATTAATGTAAGGATAGTGAGGTTGCCATTAGCACTAGGAGGGGGAAGATGCTAGGAAAAGGTAAACCTGTAGGCTGGTGGGTTTTCAAAGAAAACTGTGGAATGGGGGAGAGTGGTCCAGAAAGGCCGTTGGAAACAAAGTGCAGAGCGATGTAAGTGAATGTAGAGGCTTTTAAATAGAAGTGCCAGGAGGGACTTCTGTTCAAGGTGGGGCCAAAGGCGGCAGAGAGAAAAGGCAAGTGGAATTAATTGGAATTAAAATTCTCCGCAGGTTCAGGAGAAATTCTATGTGGTGTCAGAGGCTTTATGAGACTAGTCTTTAGAAGTTTTGTTCAAGGTTCTAAATAGAATTTTGGCAAAGAGTTGTTTTGCTCATGCTGCTGCCATTGAAGAGAGCTCTGCTCATATGAGGAAGGAAAAGTAAAAAAGATAATAAAATGAGGGATTGTTAAGTAAAATGCCAGATTCTTAAGGCTAAATTGAGTATTAGTATTCTAAAGAAGTTTTTCCTAATTATTTTGTAGTTATTAGGATTCATTTTCAAAGTAGACTTCCATAAGAAGATCATTAAAACTTTAGAAAGTATGAGGTTCCATATTAAATACACATAGACTGTACACAGATTGATATTTTTGTAACAGTACAGTAATTGTCATTAAGTTAGCTTAACCTGTGAATTAATCACATATAAAAAGCACATTAAACCAGTCAGATGCAACAATAACAAAATGATCCAAGATATATAAAAAAATGTTTTCAGTACACCTCAAGTGTTTGTTCTGTCCTTTAAAACAAAATTTTCAACATAACTAAGGATTTATGCATATTATAAGAATTAAACAGGTGATTCTTAAAAGACACATAACAACAAAGCTTTTGGGAAATTTTTCCTTATAGATAAGACCATGTTGATTCAAGTTCAGCAATGGTTGAGAGTAAATAAAATTCTCTTTTTTAGGTTACATTTTTAATAGACCATTTGTTCACTATTCCCCTAACCTTTCCCCTCTTTCCCCTTCCCATCCCTTGCTCTTTACTTTCAAAATCTATATTAAAGTGTCTTGTAATTTTTAAATGCTAACCATTATGTGTAGTGACTGGAGCTTTTAAACACAAAGTTAAATATCAACCCACAGATATTTGATTGAGTTATTCTGGATGCAATCACACAATCAAAAACCAAAAGCCATCTATTTATTAGTATTTTCCAGGGTACCTACTATTCCAAAGGATGTAATTGCAGTCCCTGCAGTGGCTGATAACTGAAGGAATATTGGAATAATTTACACCAGGATTACTGCTGTTTGTGAGATAAAGGATCTAGTCCATATTAGATTGAGATGATCATTTTTTGTTAGCAAAGAGAACTCACTGTTCATGCTATTATGTACTTCTCTCCTGTCTCACAATTACCTTAATTATTTTACATTTAAATGTACACATTTTGTTTCTCTGCTAACTTAATAATAAACTTGGGGGTAGAGATGAGTTTTCAAGTCATAGAATATATAATACTAAAAAATATAGTATCTGATACTAGACACTCATGAAATACTTGTTGAGAAGTGGTATTTTATCTAATTATATTCTTCTTTGCCTTCTAAAGTCTCAACTTATTTACATTGTAGATGCTGAGAAAAACTCTTAAAGGGTCTGGAAATAAAGAACAAGAAGTAACACGTGAGACACCAAGTTTGGTGCCATTTGGGGATGTGGTATGTATGACTAAGTCTTGATAAACCCATATAAATTATTTCTTATTTCATATGAAGACAATTTAATGTTTATTGCATGGTATCAAAAAGCATGAATAGAAAATGGCTGTCTCTGATAACCATATTCATGAATTTTTCATTTTTATGAGTCAGATAAGCATTCTAATAATCACTGAAATTATGGAAAACATTCTGATTTGCAGAAAAACTGTTATCTGTACTAGGGATTCCCAAGATGTTATGTTTTTTCAGTCCTTACCAAATGTAAAATGAAAATGATTTGGACAGTGACAGCTGTATTGAAGTTACTAAATGAACCATTTTTGGCTTTGTATTCTTGTTTATTTTAGGTTTACTTTGAACAAATCTTGCCTGTTTTTCTTCTGTGTTTCTGCTTTATATCTGTGACTAGATATTACTAATAAAAAATTTCTAATGAGAAAAACTAACAAAGTGAAACTTTAAAAAATATAGTTTGGTGACAGTAAAATGAAAGGAAAATTAACTTTAAAACATTCATTCTCTGTGTTTTTATTTTGATTGTTATAGGTCGGCTGCCTGGCCATTCATGTAAGAAACTGCAAACATTTTACGCCTAAGAGTATCCTTTCTTTTGATTTAACGATCATACTATGATCATATGTCACTGTTTCAGTTATATATTGCTGCCTTACAAAACACTCAAAGACTCAGTAGCTTAAAACATTAACCACTTTACTACCAATCATTATCTGTGCATTCACTAAGTGGTTTTTCTGCTTCACACTTTCACAGCTGGGGCTGTAGTTCAAAAGGGCTGGTATGTCCAAAAGAACTCATTTACATGTCTGGTGCCTTAATGAGAATGCCTGAAAGACTGGACTTAGCTGAGAGGTTGGACCTTTCTTCCCCTGTAGTCCCAGGGCCTTGTCTTTCATCATTAATTTTTTTCTGCATTAGTTTTTATTTTAAAATGTTAAAATACTATCTTGATTACTGAAGTTTCTGGTGTCCACTTAACTTTGTACCCTCTCAGCTCGTAGCTGAGCTGAGCTCAGCGCCTCTCTCAGCTCGTCCTAGTCTCAGCCATGGTCATGTCCATTGCATGTTAAAAGAGTCACAGGACTAGGCCAGATTCAAGAGCAGAGGGAAATACTAAGTTCACTGTTTGAGGTGGGGAGTGACAGAAGATTTTTAACCATCTGTAATCCACCTCAGTCATCATGTAAGTTTAAGAAGAAATATTTATCTTCTTGGATGATAGTACTAATTTATTTCTATGCATCTCTTAAACATTGTTTAAAGAATTTATTTTTCTCGGTGACTTTAAGTAAGTTGAATGCTTATTATTGGATTATTGTGGCATAAAACCAGCCTCATTATGAAGGCTTGATGGTTCATTTTTATATAAAGTGAGTTATTGAAGAGAATTCTATATAGGCAGAGTTTTAAAGATAAATCATAAAAACAAAATTGTTTTAATTCATGGAGTACTATGAAAGATAAAAAACTGACCAATATAGTATATGTGAAGTAGATAGTAAAGTGAATTACAAGATAGAGTGCTGCTTTAAATTTTGTTGTCCTAAAATTAAGAATAGATTATTCTGAATTATTATATTTTTTGAATTTTCATATAATAATTAGAAAAAATTTTCAAGTATGTGTTGTGAGTGTTTGGTTACCTTAAAAATAATATATAGGAAAATTTTAAAAATAATTATAATGAAAATGTGAGGATAAAAATATGAGAAGTAATCTAATGAAAAATCAACCGTCTTTTCCTGATCGTGCCTACCGGCAACGGGCAAAAATACTATTTTAAAAGGCTTTCCTTTTTGTTTAATATGCTCTATAACTTCTTTCTTTATTTGATTGAGTCTTAGGTTTGGGCCTGAATTGTTTAATGGGTTAATTTTACAATGTGTTACTGTTCAGTCACAACGAAATTTGCTTCCTAAATATGTATTTTCAGTCATTTCCCAGCATTACAGTAATTTGTTCATTCGCATCTCTATTAACAAGGTGGTGAAATGTACAAAAACTTGTAGCTTGATATCTCAAAACACTGAAAAGGACTTTATGATTACATTTGATGAAGTGAAGTATTTTTCTGTACAGGTAACGTTAAATTTCTCTTCTAGAAAAAATAATGTATTTTTTATAATTTGAAATAGTCTACACTAATATGTTTTTTCCTCAGGGGATAGGAAAAAAACCAAAAACAGTGTTCTTTTGTTTGATATTTTACAGTATTTATTTCTATATTATGGGCTATAATGATGTTTTTGCAGCTTACTGTAAAGTATATAATTGTGGTGTTCTTCTCTGAGAGCTTCTTGTTGGTGATTCTCAGTGTTTATCACACATGCATACATTCTTCTCTATCTCACTCTTCCCTCCCCATCTGCCCTCTTCCACCTGTCTTAGTCAGGGTGGGCTATTATAGCAAATTGCCACAGACTGGACGGCTTAAACAGCAGACCTTTATTTCTTGCTTTTCTGGAAGGGAGGAAGTTCCTTAGAAGGACACTAATCAGAATTCACAAGGGCTCCAACTCTCATGACCTATTTACCTCCCAAACACCCCATGAACAAATGCCATTGCATTGGAGCTTTAGGCTACGGCTTGACTTTTGAGAGACCCAAGCGTCCAGTCCATACACACCTGTTTTTCATCTCCTTTTCCCTTACCTCTCTGCTTTCTTCTTGTGTAGACTCTCTCTCTTTCCTTTTGCATGGATTAGTCTTTATAACAACCCTTTGCTATATACTCTTATATATATTCTTATTATCATTTTTGTTTTGCAGATGAAGAAATAGGTACTGTACGGTTTAAAGAAATTTATTAAGGTCGTATAACTAGTAATTGGTGGAGCTGAGAATGCAGTCAGTCTGGCTTCAGCTGGCTTCATTAGACCGTCTCCCACCAGGGCTCGCTCGGCTGAGTTTACTTCTGTTTACAGTTAAGCTTCCTAGAATCCTAAATGTATCTCAGAGTTGTCTTTAAAATGAGAGATACATCAAGGGTGAAACAGATCACCAGCCCAGGTTGGATGCATGAGACGGGTGCTCAGTGCTGGTGCACTGGGAAGACCCAGAGGGATGGGATGGAGAGGGAGGTGGGAGAGGGGATCGGGAAGGGGAACACATGTAAATCCATGGCTGATTCATGTCAATGTATGGCAAAAACCACTACAATATTGTAAAGTAATTAGCCTCCAATGAATAAAAATAAATGGAAAAATAAAAAAATAAAATGAGAGATACTATTTCATTTAGCTGCAGGATTCCTTGATTAGTCCAATTGTTTCCTGATAGTTTTATTACATCAGTTGAATTTTAGTGAAATCCTAAAACATTTTCTCTATGTCATATATATGTATATATATGTGTGTGTGTGTTTGTGTACATATGTGTGTGTTTATATATATTTCAAACTTCATTTTGCTTAAGTGTTGAGTATTGAAAATACTTCTTTAAACATGTGTTTAAAAAAGCATTATTTTCCTAGGTTCAATCCATATTATTTCTTTTACTTTGCAAATACTTTTCCTATGCTTTATTGCCAAGTTTTCAGGAATTTTGTAGATACATGTTCATTTAAATAAAGCTTGCAAATAATACCGGAAAAAATATAAATTAATAGGATGTTTATTTTCATTAGATAATCAAAATATTTTTCCTATGTTTATTTTAATAGGAGCTATTAGTTTGATTATAATAAGAGGAGAGTTTTAGTGGAACTCTAATGGAAAATTTTGGAATTATCTAGTAATATTAACATAGAAAATTGGACAAGCAAACAAAGAAATGTGAAAAAAAAAGCAAGACATTAATTCCAGGGAAATTAAAAAAATGATACAGGACTAAAAACATAATCATTGTAAGTGTATTATTAAATCCTAAAAATAGTTACATATACATAATATAAACACTAAGTATTAGTCTAACAAAAAAGTATGAAATATTTTGGAGGACTAATGGGAAAAGAAATGTGAAAAATGTGGGACGAGGCTACTGACAGCTCATGTTTTTCTTCCACAATAAGCAGTTAATAGATTGTATCTACATGACCTCTGTGTTCATAGTAGCATTATTTATAGTGCCAAGATATGGAATCAACCTAAGTGTCCATCAACAGATAAATGGAAATAGGAGATAGAATACATACATATATACACAATGGAATACTACTCAGCCATGAAAAGAATGAAATTTTACCATTTACAGCAACATGGATGGACTTGGAGGGCATTATGCCAAGTGAAACAAGTCAGAGAGAGAGACAAATACTGTATGATATCACTTATATGTGGCATCAAAAATATATAGCAGATTGGTGAATATAAGAAAAAAGAAGATTCAGAGATACAGAGAAGACAAAAATAATGGTTACCAGTGGGGAGATGGAAGGAGGAGGAGCAAAATAGGGATGGAGAATTAAAAGGTACCAACTATTAGGTATAAAATAATATGTTGTTCTCCAGCAATGCAGGAACATAGCCCTGAGCGTCAACTTACAGGCTGCCATAGTCACACCTAACACATAGACCCCTCTCAAAACTCATTACCGGGCACTCCATTGCACTCCAGAGAGAAGAAATCCAGTTACACGCACTAGAACACCGAAGTAAGCTTCCCTAACCAGGAAACCTTGACAAGCCAATCGTCCAACCCCACCCACTGGGTGAAACCTCCACAATAGAAAGGAACCACAGACCTCCAGAATACAGAAAGCCCACTCCAGACACAGCAATCTAAACAAGATGAAAAAGCAGAGAAATACCCAGCAAGTAAAGGAACATGAAAAATGCCCACCAAGTCAAACAAAAGAGGAGATAGGGAATCTACCTGAAAAAGAGTTTAGAATAATGATAATAAAAATGATCCAAAATCTTGAAAACAAAATGGAGTTACAGATAAATAGCCTGGAGACAAAGATTGAGAAGATGCAAGAAATGTTTAATAAAGACCTAGAAGAAATAAAAAAGAGTCAATTAAAAATGAATAATGCAGTAAATGAGATCAAAAACACTCTGGAGGGAACCAAGAGTAGAATAACAGAGACAGAAGATAGGATAAGTGAGGTAGAAGATAAAATGATGGAAATAAATGAAGCAGAGAGGAAAAAAGAAAAAGGAATCAAAAGAAATGAGGATAACCTCAGGGACCTCTGGGACAATGTGAAATGCCCCAACATTCGAATCATAGGAGTCCCAGAAGAAGAAGACAAAAAGAAAGGCCATGAGAAAATACTCGAGGAGATAATAGCTGAAAACTTCCCTAAAATGGGGAAGGAAATAGCCACCCAAGTCCAAGAAGCCCAGAGAGTCCCAAACAGGATAAACCCAAGGCGAAACACCCCAAGACACATGTTAATCAAATTAACAAAGATCAAACACAAAGAACAGATATTAAAAGCAGCAAGGGAGAAACAACAAATAACACACAAAGGGATTCCCATGAGGATAACAGCTGATCTATCAATAGAAACCCTTCAGGCCAGAAGGGAATGGCAGGACATACTTCAAGTAATGAAAGAGAATAACCTACAACCTAGATTACTGTACCCAGCAAGGATCTCATTCAGATATGAAGGAGAATTCAAAAGCTTTACAGACAAGCAAAAGCTGAGAGAATTCAGCACCACCAAACCAGCTCTTCAACAAATGCTAAAGGAGCTTCTCTAGACAGGAAACACAGAAAGGTTATATAAACGTGAACCCCAAACAACAAAATAAATGGCAACGGGACCATACCTATCAATAATTACCTTAAAGGTAAATGGGTTGAATGCCCCAACCAAAAGACAAAGACTGGCTGAATGGATACAAAAACAAGACCCCTATATATGCTGTCTATAAGAGACCCACCTCAAAACAAGAGACACATACAAACTAAAAGTGAAGGGCTGAAAAAAAATATTTCACATAAATGGAGAACAAAAGAAAGCAGGAGTCGCAATACTCATATCAGATAAAATAGACTTTAAAATAACAGCTGTGAAAAGAGACAAAGAAGGACACTACATAATGATCAAAGGATCAATCCAAGAAGAAGATATAACAATTATAAATACATATGCACCCAACATAGGAACACCTCAATATGTAGGGCAAATGCTAACAAGTATGAAAGAGGAAATTAATAGCAACACAATAATAGTGGGAGACTTTAATACCCCACTCACAACTATGGATAGATCAACTAAACAGAAAATTAACAAGGAAACACAAACTTTAAATGACACAATGGACCAGCTAGACCTAATTGATATCTATAGGACATTTCACCCCAAAACAATCAACTTCACCTTTTTCTCAAGTGCACACAGAACCTTCTCCAGAATAGATCACATCCTGGGCCATAAATCTAGCCTTGGTAAATTCAAAAAAATTGAAATCATTCCAGTCATCTTTTCTGACCACAGTGCAGTAAGACTAGATCTCAATTGCAGGCGAAAAAACTATTAGAAATTTAAATATATGGAGGCTAAATAACACACTTCTGAATAACCAACAAATTATAGAAGAAATCAAAAAAGAAATCAAAATATGCATAGAAACAAATGAAAATGAAAACACAACAACCCAAAACCTATGGGACACTGTAAAAGCAGTGCTAAGGGGAAGGTTCATTACTATGAACCTCAAGGCTTACCTCAAGAACCTCAGGCTTACCTCCAGAAACAAGAAAAAGTTCAAATAAATAACCTAACTCTACACCTAAAGCAACTAGAGAAGGAAGAAATGAAGAACCCCAGGATTAGTAGAAGGAAAGAAATCTTTAAAAATTAGGGCAGAAATAAATGCAAAAGAAACTAAAGAGATCATAGCAAAAATCAACAAAGCTAAAAGCTGGTTTTTTGAAAAAAATAAACAAAATTGACAAACCGTTAGCAAGACTCATTAAGAAACAAAGGGAGAGGAACCAAATTAACAAAATTAGAAATGAAAATGGGGAGATCACAACAGACAACACCGAAATACAAAGGATCATAAGAGACTACTACCAGCAGCTCTATGCCAATAAAATGGACAACTTGGAAGAAATGGACAAATTCTTAGAAAAGTATAACTTTCCAAAACTGAACCAGGAAGAAATAGAAGATCTTAACAAACCCATCACAAGCAAGGAAATCGAAACTGTAATCAGAAATCTTCCAACAAACAAAATCCCAGGACCAGATGGCTTCACAGCTGAATTCTACCAAAAATTTAGAGAAGAGCTAACACCTATCTTACTCAAACTCTTCCAGAAAATTGCAGAAGAAGGTAAACTTCCAAACTCACTCTATGAGGCCACCATCACCATAATTCCAAAACCAGACAAAGATGACACAAAAAAAGAAAACTACAGGCCAATATCACTGATGAGCATAGATGAAAAAATCCTTAACAAAATTCTAACAAACAGAATCCAACAACATAGTAAAAAAAATCATACACCATGACCAAGTGGGTTTTATCCCAGGAATGCAAGGATTCTTTAATATCTGCAAATCAATCAATGTAAAACACCACATTAACAAATTGAAAGAGAAAAACCATATGCTTATCTCAATAGATGCAGAGAAAGTCTTTGACAAAATTCAACATCCATTTGTGATTAAAACTCTCCAGAAAGCAGGAATAGAAGGAACATACCTCAACATAATAAAAGCTATATATGACAAACCCACAGCAAGCATTACCCTCAATGGTGAAAAATTGAAAGCATTTCCCCTAAAATCAGGAACAAGACAAGGGTGCCCAGTCTCACCACTACTATTCAGCATAGTGTTGGAAGTGTTGGCCACAGCAATCAGAGCAGAAAAAGAAGTAAAAGGAATCCAGATAGGAAAAGAAGAAGTGAAACTCTCGCTGTTTGCAGATGACATGATCCTCTACATGGAAAACCCTAAAGACTCTACCAGAAAATTACTAGAGCTAATCAACGAATATAGTAAAGTTGCAGGATATAAAATTAACACACAAAAATCCCTTGCATTCCTATACACTAACAATGAAAAAACAAAGAGAAATTAAGGAAACAATACCATTCACCATTGCAACAAAAAGAATAAAATACCTAGGAGTATATCTACCTAAAGAAACAAAAGACCTATACATAGAAAACTATAAAACACTGGTGAAAGAAATCAGAGGACACAAACAGATGGAGAAACACTGTGTTCATGGATTGGAAGAATCAATATTGTCAAAATGGCTATTCTACCCAAAGCAATCTATAGATTCAATGCAATCTCTATTAAGCTACCAACGTTATTTTTCACAGAACTAGAACAAATAATTTCACAATTTGTATGGAAATACAAAAAACCTCGAATAGCCAAAGTAATCTTGAGAAAGAAGAATGGAACTGGAGGAATCAACCTGCCTAACTTCAGGCTCTACTACAAAGCCACAGTCATCAAGACAGTATGGTACTGGCACAAAGACAGAAATATAGATCAATGGAACAGAATAGAAAGCCCAGAGATAAATCCACGAACCTATGGACACCTTATCTTTGACAAAGGAGGCAAGGATATACAATGGAAAAAAGACAACCTCTTTAACAAGTGGTGCTGGGAAAACTGGTCAACCACTGTAAAAGAATGAAACTAGAACACTTTTTAACACCATACACGAAAATAAACTCAAAATGGATTAAAGATCTAAATGTAAGACCGGAAACTATAAAACTCCTAGAGGAGAACATAGGCAAAACACTCTCCGACATAAATCACAGCAGGATCCTCTATGACCCACCTCCCAGAATATTGGAAATAAAAGCAAAAATAAACAAATGGGACCTAATGAAACTTAAAATCTTTTGCACAACAAAGGAAACTATAAGCAAGGTGAAAAGACAGCCCTCAGATTGGGAGAAAATAATAGCAAACGAAGCAACAAAGGACTAATCTTAAAAGTATACAAGCAACTCCTGCAGCTCAATTCCAGAAAAAGAAATGACCCAATCAAAAAATGGGCCAAAGATCTAAACAGACATTTCTCCAAAGAAGACATACATATGGCTAACAAACACATGAAAAGATGCTCAACATCACTCATTATCAGAGAAATGCAAATCAAAACCACAATGAGGTACCATTACACGCCAGTCAGGATGGCTGCTATCCAAAAGTCTACAAGCAATAAATGCTGGAGAGGGTGTGGAGAAAAGGGAACCCTCTTACACTGTTGGTGGGAATGCAAACTAGTACAGCCACTATGGAGAACAGTGTGGAGATTTCTTAAAAAGCTGGAAATAGAACTGCCATATGACCCAGCAATCCCACTTCTGGGCATACACACTGAGGAAACCAGATCTGAAAGAGACACGTGCACCCCAGTGTTCATCGCAGCACTGTTTATAATAGCCAGGACATGGAAGCAACCTAGATGCCCATCATCAGACGAATGGATAAGGAAGCCGTGGTACATATACACCATGGAATATTACACAGCCATTAAAAAGAATTCATTTGAATCAGTTCTAATGAGATGGATGAAACTGGAGCCCATTATACAGAGTGAAGTAAGCCAGAAAGATAAAGACCAGTACAGTATACTAACACATATATATGGAATTTAGAAAGATGGTAATAACCCTATATGCAAAACAGAAAAAGAGACACAGATGCACAGAACAGAGTTTTGGACTCTGTGGGAGAAGGCGAGGGTGGGATGTTTTGAGAGAACAGCATCGAAACATGTATATTATCTATAGTGAAGCAGATCACCAGCCCAGGTTGGATGCATGAGACAAGTGCTCAGGCCTGGTGCACTGGAAAGATTCAGAAGGATTGGTTAGAGAGGGAGGTGGGAGGGGGGATCGGGATGGGGAATACGTGTAACTCCATGGCTGATTCATGTCAATGTATGACAAAACCCACTACAATATTATAAAGTAATTAGCCTCCAACTAATAAAAATAAATGAAAAAAAAATAATATGTTGTATATATTTTGTATACATTGGATATATTGTACACATGGAGAAGACAGCAGATATTTTATAGAACTATAAATGAAGTACAACCCTTTAAAATTATGAATCACTATATTGTACACCTGTACTTTATATATTACACATCTGAGACTTCCTGGTGGTTCAGTGGTTAAATATACACCTGCCAGTGCAGGATCAGACATGAGTTTGATCCCTGGTCTGAGAAGACCCTACACGCTCATGTAGCAGCTGAGCCCGTGTACCGCAGCCACTGAAGCCCGCGCACCTAGAGCCCATGCTCTGCAACAAGAGAAGCCGCTGTGGCGGGAAGCGCTCACACTACGGCTAGCGAGTAACCTGTGCTCTCCTCAACTGGAGAATGCCCTCATGCAGCAGTGAAGACCCAGCCAAAACAAATAACTAAATGTGCCCTGCTGTTTGCAGCAACATGGATGGACTTTGAGGGCACTATGCTAAGTAAAACAAGTCAGGGGAAGACAAACACTGTGTGATCATTTTTACGTGCAGTCCAAAAAAATGAGGGAATTCCATGATCGCCCAGTGGTTAGAACCCTGCGCTTTCACTGCCCAGGGTGTGGATTCAATCTCTGATCAGGGAACTAAGATCTTACAAGCCAGGCAGCACAGCCAGGAAAAAAAAAAAAAAAAAAGGGAAATGAACTCATAGAGAACTGATTGGTGGTTGCTAGAGGTGGGGTTTGGGGGTGAGCGAAATGAATGAAGGTAATCAAAAGGTGCCAACTTCCAGTTATTAGATGACTAAGTCCTTGGGATCTGATGAATAGGATGGTGACGATAGTTAACAACATGTCTGCTCGGTCACTCAGTCGTGCCGACTCTTTGCAACCCCATGGGTCTGTAAGGCGCCAGTCTCCTCTGTCCATGGTACTTGAAATGGGTGTTTCAAGAAAATGGGTGCTTCAAAAAGTATATCTTATGGGTGTTTTTATTCAGAAATTATGTCTGAAATTCAGACTGAAAATGTATTGTTTCTTTTCATATATATTTTGTGTTAAGGTTCCCAGACGTCAAGATGATGAGAAGAATAATATTCGCTTAGAACTAATGCAACATGACAGTACAAAAAAGTATCTTCTTTTGTTAGGGAGTGTTCAGGTACATCTTTATGAAGTAATTCAGGTATGTATCAAATCATTTTTTTACCTTGGTATCACATTGTCCAGTTGGTGTTTATTTTCGAGATTTATCTGTACTTAACGGACTCCTTTTGCTTATTATCCGTCTTATGTGCTTAGTAAATTCATGTCTGTAGTAAACAATATTTCCCTTTGGCTCAAAAAAAAAAGTTAGCTTGTAACAGCGTAATGTTTTTTAAATTTTATTTCCTGGAGGGCAATAAGTAAGTGAAAGTTGTTCAGTTGTGTCCGACTCTTTGTGACCCTATGGACTGTAGCCTGTCCTTGGGGATTCTCCAGGCAAAAATGCTGGAATGGGTAGCCATTCCTTTCTCCAGGGGATCTTCCCCACCCAGGGATCAAACCTGGGTCTCAGGCTTTGCAGGCAAATTCCTTACCATCTGAGCCACCAGGGAAGCCTCGAAGGGTAATGATACAACCTAAAAGACTAAGCACGCTTTTTGTTTGTTTTATTTTGTTTTCTGAAATGTTTCAAAACAAGACTCAGACCACAAACTCTCTTAACTGTCAGTTCCAGTTTCAGCTCTGTTCTTTTTTTCCCTAACTTATTTATTTTTTATTGAAGGATAATTACTTTACAGAATTTTGTTTTCTGTCAGACCTCAACATGAATCAGCCATAGATATATCCCCACCCTTTTGAACCTCCCTCCCATCTGCCTGCCCACCCCACCCCTCTAGGTAGATACAGAGCTCCTGTTTGAGTTTCCTGAGCCATAGAGCAAATTCCCATGGCTATCTATTTTACACATAGTGATGTAAGTTTCCGTGTTACTCTTTTCATACAGCTCACCCCCTCCTCCCCTCTCCCCATGCCCACAAGGCTATGCTCTATGTCTGTTTATCCATTGTTGCCCTGTAAGTAAATTCTTCAGTACCATTTTTCTAGATTCCATATATATGCATTAGAATACAACATTTATTTTTCTCTTTCTGTCTTACTTCACTCTGTATAATAGGTTCTAGGTTCATCCACTTCATTAGGAACTGATGCAAAAGTATTCCTTTTTAATATTCCATTGTGTGTATGTACCACAACTTCTTTATCCATTCATCTGTCGATGGACTTCTAGGTTGCTTCCATGTTCTAGCCATTGTAAATAGTGCTGCAGTGAACAGTGGGATACATGTGTCTTTTTAAATTTTGGTTTCCTCAGGGTATATGGCCTAGGAGTGGGATTGCTGGGTTATATGGTGATTTTATTCCTAGTTTTTTAAGGAATCTCCATACCATCTTCCATAATGACTGTATCAATTTACATTCCCACCAACAGTGCAAGAGTGTTCCCTTTTCTCCACATCCTCTCCAGCATTTATTGTTTGTAGACTTTTTGGTGATGGCCATTCTGACTGGTGTGAGGTGATTTCTCATTGTGGTTTTGATTTGCATTTCTCTAATAATGAGCAATGTTGAGCATCTTTTCATGTGTTTGTTAGCCATCTGTATATCCTTGGGGAAATGTCTGTTTAGATCTTTTTCTCACTTTTTTGATTGGGTTGTTTGTTTTTCTGGTATTGAGTTGTATGAGCTGCTTGTATATTTTGGAAATTAATCCTTTGTCAGTTGTTTCATTTGCTATTATTTTCTCCCATTCTGAGGGTTGTCTTTTCAGCTTGCTTATAGTTTCCTTTGCTGTGTGAAAGTTTTTAAATTTAATCAGGTCCCACTTGTTTATTTTTGTTTTTATTTCCATTACTCTAGGATGTGGGTCACAGAAGATCTTGCTTTGATTTATGTCATCGAGTGTTCTGCCTATGTTTTCCTCTAAGAGTTTTATAGTTTCTGGTCTTACGTTTAGATCTTTAATTCATTTTGAGTTTATCTTTGTGCATGGTGTTAGGTAGTGTTCTAATTTCATTTTTTTACATGTAGCTGTCCAGTTTTCCCAGCACCATTGATTGAAGAGGCTGTCTTTGCCCCATTATATATTCTTGCCTCCTTTGTAAAAAATAAGGTACCCATAGCTGCACGGGTTTGTTTCTGGGCTTTCTATGCTGTTCCATTGGTGTGTATTTCTGTTTCTGTGCCAGCACCACACTGTCCTGATGACTATAGCTTTGTAGTATAGTCTGACGGCAGGCAGGTTGATTCCTCCAGCTCCATTCTTCCTCAAGACTGCTTTGGCTATTTGGGGTCTTTCATGTTTCCATATGAATTGTGAAATTTTTGTTATAGTTCTGTGAAAAATGTCACTGATAATTTGATAGGGGTTGCATTGAATCTGTAGATTGTTTATGGTAGGATAGTCATTTTCACAATATTGATTCTTCTTACCCAGGAACATGGAGTATCTCTCCATCTGTTTACATCATCTTTGATTTCTTTCATCAGTGTCTTATAACTCTCTGTGTACAGTTCTTGTGTCTCCTTAGGTAAGTTTATTCCTAGATATTTAATTATTTTTGTTACAGTGTTGAATGGGATTGATTCCTTAACTTCTTTTTCTGATTTTTCATTGTTAGTATATAGAAATGCAAGTGATTTCTGTGTATTGATTTTGTATCTTGCAACTTTGCTAAATTCAGTGATTAGCTCTAGTAATTTTCTGATAGTATCTTTAGGGTTTTCTATGTACAGTTTCATGTCATCTGCAAACAGTGAGAGATTTACTTCTTTTCCAACCTGAATTACTTTCATTTCTTTTTCTTCTTTGATTGCTGTAGCTAGGACTTCCAGAACTATGTTGAGTAATAGTGGTGAAAGTGGACACCCTTGTCTTGTTCCTGATCTTAGGGGGAATGCCATCAGTTTTTCACCATTGAGAATAATGTTTGCTGTAGGCTTACCATATATGGCCTTTACTGTGTTGAGGTAGATTCCGTCTGTGCCCAGTTTTTGAAGATAATCAAATGGTTGCTGAATTGTGTCAAAGCCTTTTTCTGCCTCTACTGAGATTATCATATGGTTTTTATCTTTCAATTTGTTAATATGGTGTATCACATTGATTGATTTGTGTATACTGAAGAATCCTTGCATCCCTGGAATGAACCCAACTTGATCATGGTGTATGAGCTTTTTGATGTGTTGCTGAATTCTGTTTGCTAAGATTTTGTTGAGGATTTTTGTATATATGTTCATCAGTGATATTGGCCTGTACTTTTCTTTTTTTGTATTGTTTTTGTCTGGTTTTGGTATCAGGGTGATGGTGGCCTTGTAGAATGACTTTGGAAGTGTTCCTTCCTCTGCAATTTTTTGAAAGAGTTTTAGAAGGATACATATTAGCTCTTTTCTAAATGTTTGATAGAATTCTCCTGTGAAGCCATCTGGTCCTGGGCTTTTGTTTTTTTTGTGACTTTTTTTTAATCACAGCTTCAATTTCAGTGCTTGTAATTGGGTTGTTCATAATTTCTATTTTATCCTCGTTCAGTCATGGAAGATTGAACTTTTCTAAGAATCTGTCCATTGCCTCCAGGTTAACCATTTTATTGCCATATACTTGTTTACAATCAGTCAGTTCAGTTCGGTCGCTTAGTTGTGTCTGACTCTTCGCGACCCCATGAAGTGCAGCATGCCAGGCCTCCCTGTCCATCACCAACTCCCGGAGTCCACCCAAACCCATGTCCATTGGGTTGGCGATGGCATCCAACCATCTCATCCTCTGTCGTCCCCTTCTCCTCCTGCCCTCAATCTTTCCCAGCATCAGGGTCTTTTCCAATGAGTCAGCTCTTCTCATCAGGTGGCCAAAGTATTGGAGTTTCAGCTTCAACATCAGTCCTTCCAATGAACACCCATGACTGATTTCCTTTAGGATGGACTGGTTGGATCTCCTTGCAGTCCAAAGGACTCTCAAGAGTCTTCTCCAACACCATAGTTCAGAAGCATCAATTCTTTGGCGGTCAGCTTTCTTTACAGTCCAACTCTCACATCCATACATGACCAGTGGAAAAACCATAGCCTTGACTAGACGGACTTTTGTTGGCAAAGTTATGTCTCTGCTTTTTAATATGCTGTCTAGGTTGGTCATATCTTTCCTTCCAAGGAATAAGCGTCTTTTAATTTCATGGCTGCAATTACCATCTGCAGTGATTTTGGAGCCCAGAAAAATAAAGTCAGCCACCATTTCCACTCTTTCCCCGTCTATTTCCCATGAAGTGATGGGACCAGATGCCATGATCTTAGTTTTCTTAATGTTGAGCTTTAAGCCAACTTTTTCACTCTCCTCTTTCACTTTCATCAAGAGGCTCTTTAGTTCTTCTTCACTTTCTGCCATAAGGGTGGTGTCATCTGCATATCTGAGGTTATTGATTTTTTTCCCGGCAATCTTGATTCCAGCTTGTGCTTCTTCCAGCCCAGCGTTTCTCCTTATGTACTCTGCATATAACTTAAATAAGCAGGGTGACAATACACAGCCTTGACATACTCTGTTTCCTATTTGGAACCAGTCTGTTGTTCCCTGTCCAGTTCTAACTGTTGCTTCCTGGCATGCATACAGGTTTCACAAGAGGCAGGTCAGGTGGTCTGGTATGCCCATCTCTTTCAGAATTTTCCACAGTTTGTTGTGATCCACACAGTCAAAGGCTTTGGCATAGTTAATAAAGCAGAAATAGATATTTTTCTGGAACTCTCTTGCTTTTTTGATGATCCAGCGGATGGTGGCAACTGATCTCTGGTTGATCTCTGGTTCCTCTGCCTTTTCTAAAACCAGCTTGAACATCTGGAAGTTCATGGTTCATGTACTGTTGAAGCCTAGCTTGGAGAATTTTGAGCATTACTTTACTAGTGTGTGAGATGAGTGATATACCCATTTGAATTCAGAGTTCCAAAGAATAGCAAGGAGAGATAAGAAAGCCTTCCTCAGCGATCAATGCAAAGAAATAGAGGAGAACAATAGGGTGGGAAATACTATAGATCACTTCAAGAAAATGAGAGATACCAAGGGAACATTTTATGCAAAGATGGGCTCAATAAAGGACAGAAATGGTTGGAACCTAACAGAAGCAGAAGATATTAAGAAGAGGTGGCAAGAATACACAGAAAAACTGT